CTATTCTGAGTGTAGTGCGTTCTTCATTTTAATCCTTTTCCTTTGCTCTTGGGGGTTGAATGTTAGGGTGTTTTTCATGATGCATTTAGGTAACTTTCATGATGTGTTTCCTAATATCTCACTCAAACGAGAGCTGGTTAATTTTATCGCACAGCAAATTGTTGTTGATTGATGTTTGACCAATGAATCCACAATACGCTCCATAGAATATAACACATTTAGTTTGGAATGTAATTTGCAAATGCTTTTTATTACTTACCAAATGAATTAACAACAGAAAAAATGAACAAATAATTTCTTCTCTCTCTCTCCCTCTCATTCTCTATTTCTTCATTCTTCTTTTGATATTAAACAAACAGGGTTCTAGCTTATCGAACAGTGGATATCACAAAAACATTACAATTAGAAGAACTGATAGCTAGAGAAGAATTAGAATATGCAATTGAAGAGGAAGTCGCCCGGCAGACCATTGCAGCATGGATTGAACGATGTATATTTCGGAATAGACAAGTAAATTGTTTTTGGGCTGTTTTTTTTTACATTGTTTTATTCTTCTTCTTCTTCAGTTGAAATAATAATAATATTGTGTAGGGTTGGTCACTAGGTACGCTTGAAGCTATATTACGAGTTCAACTTAGTCGATAAACACGAACGAGACAATGAACCAGCATCCAGATAGGCTACCTTGAATCACAAACTGCAAAACAGAAGGCTTGGTAAGCGTAGAAAGTATATTCTACAAACACCCAGCAATAACAGTACAATCAAGCACACATATCTCGTTTATTTATAAATCATAGAAACGCCCTTGGGACAGTTACCAAAATATCACACTAGAATACACAGCAGCCGATCACAGCCATGGGTTTTCCTGGTGGGGATCGAAATCTCAAGGTCAACAGATCCACTCATGCTGGCAAACGTGAAATCCAAAATAAGGCATTTATCAAGCGAGTTCTGGGGATCTAACATCCCCAATATATTGAATATTGGTTTTTGTGATAGATATGGGATTTATTGAGATAATTTTGGTTTTTCAATGCAAAGTTTTAAAATATGATGTAATAAGATTAGTTTGATTATGAGAAGTAGAAAATTGTAATCATTAGTATTGTATGTTTGTTTGAATTTAGTGTAGTGTGAACTGTGTTGATTTCATTTTAAAATGTAGACATGTTAGATTAAGATGCAATCAACAGATATCTAGGCGAACGTTGTGTACAATGTTAAGTAATTTCCTTATTAATTGGCTAATCACAGCTGGGCTATAGGTATAAATGTTTGATAAACAAGTCATCCAATGTTACTCATTTGTAATATTGCATCACCTGCCAAGGCAGCGTCATGATTGTAATCTTTAGACCACAAAAACCACTATATTTTTAGAAATGAACTTGTATATAATTTTCATTAAACAGAGTCGTAAAGTCAATGCCCTCATCCTTGACTGTTAAATAAAGTTAAATGTAATTTATATGCATTACGTGGTGGTCTAACATTGATCGATTCATGGGTTCAAAAAATGTGTAACTTAACAATCTTCACAACAACCCTGTAATGAAAATTACCTGTGCTCACTAGTGACTAGCTTCGTGAGGAATCTTCTCCGAGTTCTGGTGGGAAGACGTGACCAGTGAAGTTCAACTTGCTCGGGTGTAGGCAGTAACTACCGAAGACTGTGTATGAGGTTGCGCAACTCCGTGAATTAATCAAGTTAGACATTAACACCGTTAGATACCGACTCAGTGGTCCGATGGCTAGGTGAATCAAAGGTCCCGGGTTCGAGTCCTGCGATGTGCAGGAGTCGTGGTTGCGCACTGCTGAGGAGTCCCATACTAGGACGAAAAGATCATCCAGTGCTTCCAGGTTTCTAATGGTGGTCTAACATTATTCAAGTACATATTTATATATTTGGGTGACCATTTGTTAAACTACTGTCAATCTACTTGAATTGAGTTAATTAGAGTGGAGTTTGAACATGGTACTTCTTAATACTGAGCTGATGGAATTTAACCAGTACACCAGTGTGGTAAGAGAGACATCAACAGTTTCACTAGATGATTCTTGCGCGGCAATGAGAATTCTCAATAGTTAGAATATGAGGTGCCTCAGTATTCAAGAGATAATCTACCTGCTTTTTAGTTTAACTGTCGATTAGGTATCTGAATCAGCTACCTCTGAGCAGACTCGAAAACAAGATAGGTCACTACTGGTTCAATGTACTATGCCTATGTTTTTAATGAATCTTAAGCTGAAATCAATTTCCTAATGTAAACTATTTTTCACTGCTTTTATTTTTCTCAAAAAACAACCAAACTTTTAGAAACATGGTCAATTGAAATTTAAAATGCATTCAAATATTGAACGTCAAATCAGTACAACCTTAGATGATAATGATGATTTAAACAAAAAACCCGATTTCTTACTTAATAAAAGTGTACGTATTAAAAAGCAATCGTCAATCACTAGAAAATCATCATCGACATCTTCAAACTCTTCCTCTTCCACTTCTACATCAGCATTACCGTCAACATCACCGATAATCATTGGTGGATTATTGAAAGAGACCAGTGGAAAATCTATGGAAAATCCATTTGAAGCAAGTCATGAAAGAGCTAGTAAGATTATAGCACCACAATTGAAAATGTGTAAAGTAATCATCAATACATCTACGCCTACGACTGCTACTACTACTTGTATGACAGAAAATACTACTGATCTTACTATATCATCAAATCCAATGACAACAATTGATCCTAATAGTAATAATCTCGTTATCACAACCCCACCAATGACCGTGGCGAATCCAACTACGCAACATAGTAATACACTTTTGAAAGATAAGAAAGCATTAGCTTTTCAATATTCAAATGAGTTAACTACATCTTCAGTGCAAAATCATGATGACTACGACCGCGGTGATGACGATGATGATACTCTGCTGACAACTACAAATATCCCTGATGATGATGATGCAGGTTTTAAGATTGAAGAAGACTATGCCACAGATTATTGCCAACCATTATTGTTCGATGCAAAACTCGATAAGAAATTATGCAATTCCATTGACAGCGGAAGTGTTATGCATCAAAATCGTTCTTCACAGCAATCACAACGTAAATCAATGTCCGGTAAAATTATTAGCAATAATAATAATAATAATAATCTGAGCAATAAAATTGATCATAATCGAAGCGCAACACCAACATTTATTGATACATGTTTAATTAATGAAAATGCAACGAAACTCTATCAGAATAAAGTTAGCACAGAGTCATTTACTACTACGCTACCGATTGACAGCAAAAAGTCAACCACCCTAATGGAACCATATAAAGTGACTATAATTGAAAATGTAATGGGAATCGATGAAGAACAACAGCAACCTCAACAACAGCATCAGCAACAACACCCTCTACAACATACTCCATTGCCATTGAACACCACCACGACGACCACTACGCCACAATCAGTACGAATGAAACCAACTGTATTATCAACTATTAAATCATTATCAACACATGGTAAAACAAGACAAAGTGTCATACAGAAATTATCTAAACTACCTGATGTTGTGGAAGATTTGGATGAACAAGGTGAAAAACGTTTTGTTTATAGTTGTACAAATAATTATAATATAAAGAATACTGATAAATCAACATTACAAACAATGGAAATGCATCATTTGAAACATAAAGATATGAAACATATTATCATTGATGATAATTTATTATCTAATGAATTAATGAATACTGACTATACTACTACTAATGTTATTAGTAGTAGTAGTGGTAGTGGTATAGATAATAATCAATGTCAGATGAAAGCTGATGATGACACTTCATCAATAATACACAATGTCACAGTACCATTACAAAATGAAGTCATAATGAGTGCTGAGCATAATCGATTCATTGATTATCGTTATGCATATCAACATGATTTTGATTATGTTAAACATATCAACGATTCATGTGATGATGTGAAAAAATGGTGGCGTAGTCAACTTTATCCAAATTTACAAACACACCAACACCAACATCAACATCAACATCATCATCAAGGTAAACAACAGTCATGGATTCAGTCAAATGTACATCATAGTAATCCTGCTGCCACTGTTCTAATTCCTGATAGAACAACAACACCTGAGATAGATGATGAGACTGTTTCTATATTGAGCAGTCCTAAAAAGAAATCACAACACCACCACCAACAACAACAAAGAACACATAAAACACAGCCTAGAATTGTGTCATCGCTAGCTAGTAAACGACGTTCAGGTGTAGCTGCAGTGATTTCACGTCGTCCATATCAACAATCACGAATGAATAATTTAATGGATGTGACAATTGATGAATACACAGATGATGTTCGTCATCTGGAGAGTAGTGCCGCCAGTGTCAATAACAATCGACCTGGTACAAAAGGAGGTCGTGTAATACAGAAAAATGTCTAGTTGAATAGTACACGTATATACATATATATATACATAAATATAAATGCATTTATTTGAACTACAGGCATAATATTTTATCATACAGTTGAATATTTTTCATATATATATATGTGTTCGCGTTATTTGTTAAAAAAAACAATATTCCAAAGTTGGCAAATTTCCGTTTTTTTCAATGTTGTAATGTTGTTCTCTGTTAAGTGTCATTTCTAATTTCTCTACAAACAGTGATCACTTCTTTTTTCGACTGACATTATTAATTTCTTTCTTATCGAATTTGTTTTAACAAATAAAAGTGTTGAATTTTCAATAATTTGGCGGACAATCAAATTTCATTTAAAATTATGTTTTGAGAGAAATTTTTTATCAGTGGGACCTAGTTAAACATTCTGTTGAAAATTGACGGGATTTAAAATCAGAGTTTAAATTTTAAAAAAATCTTGTTTTCATATTTTGAAAATAACTCCTGGACGAAAAAAAACACAGAAATTATCGGCCATTCATGCATTTGAATTCTTCTGTGTACTTTATTAGAGTTCTTCGTTAAAAATTTGTTTAACATTTCATCAAAACAAATAAACATGATGAGAATAATTCATGTATACTGTAGAATGAATAAAAAATATTTGATATTTTTTTTCTGAATTTTTAATAATAATTTTCAGTACTCGGTGCTATATACAACATTAGTGCAGTATTAATACGATCAGCAGTATTCAAGATCGGTGATACAAGTACACTTGACGTTGACATTTTGTAATCCCTTTCAAAGATATTAATATGGTTCAGAGTTTAGGCGCTCGTGCGCAAGACCAAAGTTCCTAGATTCTAATCTTGATAGTAGTAGGAGTCGTGGATGCACAATGTTGATGAGTCCCATACCAGGACGAAACGTTCCTCTTTCAGTGCTTCCAGGTTTCTAGTGATGGTCTAACAATTATTGATTTATGATTCCAATCTGCAAAAACACACTGATCTTCTTAACTCTAATTTCAAAAAATACCTATATGGACCATAATTTCGAAATCGATTCTCTACACAGAAGGGTTTCCTAGAAACACTGATTGGTTAGGAAATTTTCTAAACCACTTTCAGCTTTCAGGGATTTATTTGAAAATCGATTTATATATAGAGAGGTTGTATTACATGCAGACTGATCCGAGTTTATGTACCACTGTTTCACTATTGAATTTTCACGGTGTGCACACTAATTCAGTCAGTCAGTCAGATGCAACGTAGAACTTCGTACTTAAGTACATAAGTTCATGTTGTCACACAACATTAGCACAGACACGCAATTGTCAGTTCAAATCCAATAGTAGAAGAGGTAGTAAAGGTATTAGGAGTAATCGGACAGGTTAGGATTAGAAGATATTATTCAAGAAGTATGATTCAATGAGAAAAGTTTAAAAAGTCAAAACTAGAGTTGTTGAAGAATCCAGAAGATTATCATTTGAGAGAACACAAAGAATAAATACACCGGCGACATTGCGAGCGATTTTGAGTCATGTCATTCAAGGTCTCTAACCATCGATTATTATCATCTCGCGGACCCCAACCAGGTAGTCGACAATTACCAACATGGCTAAGTCCACTCGTCAATGACTTCATGGATCGCTGCCATGTTTTGGTCTGGCCGCCCCTAACTTTCTTCCAACCTATTCCTATACTACAAAACAAAGCTCGCCGAGGCAGTGCACAATAATTACTTCGGTAGGAATAAAATCTCGAACCTATTTATCTCGAAACGAACTCAGAGCCTTTCGGATTATTAGATCGTTCTCCAGTGATACAAGCAATTTAATTATATAGCTCGATGGTCAGTTTGAGATGGTAGAGAAAATTTGCAGCTCAAATGGATGATAAAACTCTGAAATAGTCTTTTTACAAAATCCCTTCAACTAAATAATATAGTGAGTATTCACGATTCACAAATTTGACTTTGTGAGAGAATCGGTAAAGATAAGCTCCAGACTAAATTGCTTAAACTGTAAATTTTTGAAAAATTCAGTTGTGAAAATGAATTTTTATTGTCAGAAAACACAACGCCGTCGTAATTTCAACTGTTGTATGCTAATTTCAAGTTCTCTGTTACCTTATACATTCTGACTGATCATGGACTAGTGATTTTTATGTTTCTAAAGCCTTTTTGACACTTAATAAATGAGTAGTATCAAAATATTATATAAGCGAACAATATTGTTTTTGATTAGATCGTCATCAGGCTTTAATATACATGAATATTTATGCACGAAAATGTTTAATCAATCAAGGCAATTTGAGTCAATAATCACAATGAAATGAAATAGAGATTACGTCACTACACATAATAGGCGGAAAAGTACAAGTTGATAGTAGGGAGACAGAGGTGTACTGATAGTCGTAATTAAAATAAAATACGATGGCAAAAATTTTATCCATAGTAGGTCAAACGTGGATGAATAGACTTAAAATAATCATTAAAAAACATTAAAACCATTACGTAATAAGTAGTGTGTGCACATACTTAGATAGTGAAGAAAATAAACGGAAATAGGTAGAGAATTACAGACAAATACATGATGTGAAAATAATGCTAATAATAACAAAAATAAAATTTAAACCTAAAAAGAAAAAAAGAAATTTTTTGTTAAATCTTAAATCGTTGTTGTTCTAATTTTCACAATGGGAATCTTTCATATATTCAAAATATTATGTCAACATGAAGTTAAGTGACTCAAAATCACTGTGACTATGTTTTAGGTGTTATGCATTCGAAGGCAACCTACTAGAAACTATTGACTTGTGTTTAGCATTACATGGTTGTTTCTACTAGGTTACATAATAACTAAAAAGTAAATGTAGTCACCACCAAGCAATCACCCAGTGGTCCGATGGTAAGGCGTTCGCGCACAATACCGAAGGTCTCGGGTTCGAATCCTGTAAGGTGCAGGAGACGTGGATGCGCACTGCCACTGATGAGTTCTATACCATGAAGAAACGGCCGTCCAGTGCTTCCAGGTTTCTTCTAATGGTGGTCTAACAATGATTGATTGATGATTTCAAATGTGTAAAAAACACAAAACCTCCAAAATTCTTCCCGAAAAAATCACTTTCTTGTTTACGAAACCAGTGCATTTAGAGCATGTTGTCATGAAAATAAAAATTATTTATTAGCATGACTTTAAGAATGTAGAGTTGAAAATCGTTTTTAAATAAGCCACAACTTACTTGAAAGTTATATGTCAGTCAGTATATAAGTTTGAAAGAAATCAATTTATGTGCTCAGAGTGCAATTTTTCTCTAACATGAAAAAATGACGAGTCATTGAAATTTGATCATCATCGTCAAAACTTAATTTTAACAGGAAAAAGCGCAAATTTAATTTCTTTCATCAAAATAAATTTTTTCCAGGTAAAATTTTTCAACGAATGTAAAACATTCGATTCCTTTTAAAAATGTTTCATCTAAATAGTCGAAATAAAATAAGACATGAATTCATATCATATTTCATTCATCAGTTAAATTTAATTATGAAGCTTTTAGTTTATTCATTTAAACAAAACAATGGTAAAAAGTAACATTGAAAATTGAACTAATTTCAATGAAATAGATAATATAGTTAGTTAGTTAGTTAATTGATGCCTATTATATCAGTTACATTTTTTATATAGTCTATTTTAAATTTCAATAGATACTTACTTATGTGTAATTATCTCTTGCATATATATATAGTGTAAGGTTAGTAGTAGGCAATAAAATGATAACATTAAAATTAGTGAAGTTTAAAGTGTCTATTGAAAATTTTTTCATGTTAAATGAATTGAATAAAATAACTAATATGCCATTTAGTTCACTATTCCTATGAATATTATGAAAGGGATGTTAATCCTGAAGCTCTCTCTATATATATTAAGTGTGAATTCCATAGATAGCTATTGTATGAATGTGGATAGGTAAGTTGTTCTTCAACGGTTGTGTAGAAATATGTATGCATGTTTGTACTGAGATGAATTTTGTGTTGGCTTGAAAAGTGACAAAATGAGACTACAATAGTGTGATCGCGGGTTATATGAACAGCTTAGTAATATTACTTTGTTCAAATATGAATCCAGTCAGAATGTCAGTGTTCCATGTTGTTAACTCACTGGTCAATTGATTTAGTGTGAATAATTGTGGTAATGATGTGAATATGAGCACCCTTTGTGAATTTGTATTACGTGTAATTAAGTAAATGTGTTTTTCGTGTGGGTACTTCTAATGTGTAATCTCGTATCAATAAATTTTGATTGTTGGATTCTTCATTGAATAAATAAAATGTGGCTAGGAGTGGAATCCGTGACACACGTTTCGTTCTTATTTACTTACTTATCTACTCCTGTTACCCCCATCGGAGCATAGGCCGCCGATCAGTATTCTCCAACCGACTCTGTCCCAGGCTTCCATTTCCACTTCTGTCCAACTGTTGTTCATTCTTCTCATGTCTGTCTCCTTTTCTCGGCGTAATGTGTTCCTTAGTCTTCTTCTTTCCTTTTGACCTTGAGGGTTCCAAGTGAGGGCTTGTCTTATAACGCAGTTAGGTGCTTTCCTCAATGTGTGTCTTATCCACTTATATCGCTTCTTCCAGATTTTCACCTACGCTGGAATCTGGTTTATTCTCTCCAATAGTAAGTTGTTGTTGATGGTGTCTAGCCAACGAATCTAAAGTAATTTACGCTTCGTTCTATTCAGGACCTGTCTTTGGCTGAAAGTGCCTCTATCCTGGTATTGATATTCACTCCAGAACTTTACTGTGTTATCCACTGACTGTAGATAGCCATTCACACCTTGTACAATGGGATAAATAATCATATTATTTCAAATTGAATCGCTCTCAAATGATACATTTTATACCAGAATAAATAATAATAACAATAATAATACATGACTCATTAACAAAATTCAATCAACATTGAACAAATAAAACACACTTCAAACTGATAATTAATCATTGAACTAAGTAAATATATATCATATCTCTTCTC